CCATGGATATGCCGCCTCGCATGCCTTTCTCGACGAAGGAGCGCATGTCATAGTCAGTGAAGAGGTCGAGTTCAACTTTGGTGGTTTTTAAGAGCGCAGTCCCACGAATGATTCTCCTTGGTTTGGGCGATGCCTTGCATGATGAGGTGGGAGTCGTACCCTCTAAGGTTGTGGATGGCGACAGGGATTTGGATGGTTTTGGGATTGATTTTCAGTTTGATGTTGCAGGTTCGATGCACCGCTCCGCGGTAGGTGCTCGTGACGTGACAGTGATCCCTCACGGCGTCCGCTCTCTCGAGGCATTCGTCGTACACGTGGCAGACTAAGGCGCGAGCGAAATCGTTGAGATCGTCGGGCGTCATCACGATGGACGCGGGATCGGCGAGGCTTTTCCGGATCTCTAGTTCGCAGCGTTTAACCGTTCGGAGGAAGACTTGAACGCCGTTTGCCTCGGCAGAGAATGAGCGGGGAGAAGGGCACGCTGTCGTATCGGACGACGATGAAGGCGACACCACAAGCCGTGTGTTTTGCGTTTTATGGGTGTAGCCCATAGGCGGTATCCATCTTTTCGACGATGGATTCGAAATCCGCGTAGACGACGTAGGGAGCCATCATTTGGTTGAGGTGTTTGACGAACTTCAGCGTCTTCAGATCGGCTCGCGAAAATCCACGGAGGCAGCGGAGGCAGAAATGTTTTTTCTCTTTGTGTTTGGATTGGTCGTACAGTAGCCTGGGAAGGTTTTTGACAGAGGCGCAGAGAGTGTTCCCCTTTTCGTTTCAACGAGGAAAAGATTGTGGGTGACGTCGTGGGAGGCATTACTCAACCGGTGAACGACGACTCGTTTGCCTTCGTGGCAGAACACGTTGACGTTCACCCGATTGCGCCTTTCGAACTTCAACCAGTAAGTGACGACGGCCACAACGTCGCAGTAGTTGTCGACAACACGACCGTTGGTTTTGGGATTGACGATAGCCTTCCTCCTCATGAAGTGAACCAGTATTTCCACGTGTTTGATGGCATCGCCTCCCTTGAAGGGCATGTACTTGGCGATGTCAAGGTAAACGACGTCCACCAATTCGACGACCCACCCGATCCCTTTCTCGTGAACTTCTCGAGGCTTTCCTTCATCTTGGCGAAAGCAATGTCGATGGCTCGTCTGACGTCTGGTGTGGGAATTTCCTGCGCGCTCCTGAACAAAGGCGTGACGTATTCCCGATAACCGTTGGGAAGGGTTTTGACGAGGGTTTGACATGGTTTCCAATCCTATTGATCAACAGCAACCTTCTGCTATACTTTTAGGTCGGTCAAATTTCTAACAGGATGCCCGCACACCTTACACATGAGATTGACGAAGCCCCGCCTTTCCCTTTATGCGTGTTGGTAGCAGTATTTCTGTGCGGTGGCATTGGGGCAGGATTCGTGCTTCCCCAGCAGGATCCATCTGCATGATCCCATCTTCCTTCGTTTTATACCCTTTCGTCAACCATCTCTGAAGCAATATTCAATAGGTGAGTTTCCAATTCGAGAAAAAAATAAAATAGAAAAAAACTATCGCGAGCCAATGAATAAGAACAGCGATGGGAAGAGAACGCATCTCCGCGGAAGAAGAAGAAGGTGGCGGTGTTCACCAAGAAGACCACGAGGCACAATCCTCACTTGTTTATCACCCACGAGCAGAGTCTCGTCCTTCGAGAGTATAACAAATCGCAAGTCATCCGGATGTCGGAGTTTCCCGAGCAAATGCGGTTGATCTACCTTTTTTGCTTAAACGGGTTGGTGAAAGATCGCTTGCTCCTCGACATGCTCTACCTGGTGGACCAGGAGCAGCTGTGCATCATTGTCCTTGAGAAGTTCTTGCACACTCCCAATGAGCCGGTGTACCCCAACTGCGCCTCCAAAGGGTGCATAGCGAGGGCGTCTAATTTTTCACTAGCGTGTGCGACCTCACGGAGGTGGGTTTTCCCTGAAAGTGCGGCAGTCCCGCTCACTGCTGGAGCAGCGCGAAATGCGTGCTCAGACGCTCCAACGGCGTGGGTGAGGAACTCCTTCCGGTGACAGAGAACCTGAAGACACTTCCCACCGCTGGTACGAGGGCATGCTCGCCCGTATTGGCATTCCCTATACTACTACATTTACCATCTGAACAAGTACCAGGATTCAAAGAGACGAATGCAATAGACCTTAAGACATCAGGCACAACTGGTTTGAGTTCACGTCCTAGACACATATACATGCTTTCATTTTATATCTTAATGTCAGTGAATTCACCTGTTCCTGTTTACTAGTTATAAAGGAAAGCGTCTGACAGAATATCCAGGAAATTTAGGCTGTTGTGTCCTGCAAGGCTGTAGGAAGGAAACATGTTTCTTCTCTCGAGAATGGCCCTGAGTAGGAATTCCACAAACTCTGTGAATAAATTTTACTTTGAATTAGAGACATTTTGTAACACACTTTCAGTATATTTTGTTTTGGCAACCATAATAATAATTTTCTCTGAAATCTGCACTAAGAAAGTAAGTACTTTTGTCTTAACAAATGCTGAGAGGGAAAATAGATATAATGATTAAAAACCAGTGTCTTTGGAAACAAGACTTAGTGTTGACTCATTAGTTTAGGAAAAACATGCAGTAATAGGAACAGTGTGGGGTTTTTTCAAACTGGTATGCACCAGTTCAACAAAAGATTATTGATTGTCTGAATTATATTTACCATGTGTTGGTTTCTTGTTCACTGGCTTGGCCTCTTGGTTTAGGCTTAGGGGTAGCTGATTGCCCAGTTGGGATCTCCAGCTTTGGTCATTTCTAGGGTATTTAGGTTGTTTTCATTGCTGTGAAAATATATCTCTGGTCGAAAATAGGAAATGAGCGCAATTTATGACGTACTTTTCCATCAACTATTTCTTTATATAGCTAGCTAGTACTGGAGTGTTTATGTTGCTCCAAAACAACTACATCTTAAAACTCACCTGCAACCAACGTCGCGTCCGGAATGCAACTCTCTCGGTCTCAGTCCTAAGTTGACATTTCGGCCTCTGTGTTTGTTTGGAATGTCGAAAGGAATGCCCGATATATAGCATCCTTGTAAGGTTTAAGCTTTGCCTATTCGTATCCATATTTCGCCAGAGGTTAGGTCTCTTTCATAGCGCTTCTTTGAAAAGTGTAACGAACACAGATGACCGTGCGTGAAGAGGTTCACAAAATCCGCACGACAGTATACAATCTATGCCATTCCTCATGTCAAATAGAATTTCTCAGGAAATGTACATCCGTGTTGTTTACGCAGTTGGATAATCATCAGAACTCGAAGTGCAGTTGTCAGTTTCCAATACACAATCACAACAACGTTTCATTCAAAATATTGTGCTTTGTGTCACTTTAAACTCGATGGCGTATACACTACTGAAATGTCAACACACTGAGAGGACTCTCGGGTATGACGTCACAGCCACAGACGGCAGACCGCTAAAAATAAAAATATGCATACAAGTGGGCGGGGCTAAAGTGGTTTTAGTTTTGGTGCATATTTATAATTTTTACGACTATTTTTCGTAAATGGGTGGTGTAGATGTGGTATATATTCATGTTTGAAAGTCATTATGTAATAAAAGTGCATAGTGTTTAACCTTTTTAAAAATCCTTTAATACAAATGTTTTACAATGATGTTCATTTTTTCCTAAATAAATTTGTCAACATTGTACTTGATTTTATGTTCTACAATGTATCTCAACTTCCTTCTGGCGAAACCTTTTTACGATGAGCTCATAGTTTCGGCACACGAAAGGGGGCAGAGCAAGCATTATCCAGTGAGAATCAGTAGGGCGAAACCATGTAGTAACTAGCAGGTTACAACATAGGCAACATAAAAAAGATCGCCGCAAAGCCATGGTACAAAGAATAAGAACAACAAAACATTACTCAATAATCACTGCTCATATATCTTCTCACCTTCATCGAGTATGCCGAAAGGGCATCGTATGCTCTGGAACTCGCTTTATTTTGTTGAAATGTACGTCACTATGACAGAGCTGTTACATATATGAAGATGTGTCACGTCATGTGAATAACTGTGTTATACACGTGGTAATTAGTTCATAAATTGCTTGTCGGGAAAAAAGGAACAATGTGAAGATGTCATTCAGTAAAATATATAAATGTACTAGAAGTTTTGTTGACATGAAGATATCCTTAAAACAATTTAAGATATCAATAATTTCTCAATACATTATCTCTGTTTGACATATCTTTAATTCATTTCAAGATATCTCTAATTCAATTCTAGATATCAGCAATTCTTTTCAAGATATCATGTTAATGCTTCATCATATATTTAATTCATTTCGCGATGTCATGACTTTTATTGCAGATATCTGTAATTATCTCTATTCGATATGTCTTCAATTCAATTCAAGATATCTTCAATTCAATTGAATATATCACTATTTTCATTCAAGATATCTTTAAAACAATATAAGATATCAGTATTTCATAATAGATGTGATAACGGCTTGCCATGCATCAGCGCACTAAATCTGATATCGATCATTACTCATACAAGTAAGTTGACGCTTATAAAGTTGACGCAAGAAATTTGTCTTTGTCTATGAACTGTCTCTGTGTTATGATTACACAATGCCATTTAGAGAGTGGTCAAATGTAGCACATGTTATATTTGAGATTACACGTTCTTAGTAAAGCAAAGATTCTAGTACTTTTGTAGGGGTGAGCCCCATCCGGGATTCCAACCCACACCCTCATCGTCAGGCACCTAATCGCCAGCACACAAAGTCAGCCGCCTTACCCGCTAACCCTTGGCAGCCGCGGTGGCTGAGCGGCTTCGGCGGCTGACTTTGTGTGCTGGCGATTAGGCGCCTGACTCCGAGGGTGTTGGTTGGAATCCCGGATGGGACTCAACCCAACAAAAGTACTAGAATCTGTACTTTACTAAGAAAGTGTAATCTCAAATATAACATGTGTGTTACATGTCCCTGTTTTGCTTCAGACGTCCAGACATGAAGTACATGCTGTCGCTGTGGCTGTCGGTGTTGTACGTCGTGTGCTGCCACCTCGAGGTGACGTCGGGGTCAGATGTGTTCCTCGTGAAGGTTGTGTCGTCGAAGATAGTCTGTGACCGGCTGTGTGTCTACACCACACGGTGCCAGGCGTATCGTTGGATTGCTGCTAACAGAACTTGTGAACTTTCGACACAACCTGCATCTACCGACACCAACTTCACAAGTGTTAAGGTAAATAGGCTATTTATAGGATATGCGAAATATACTCAAATGTAAAATTTAGTGTGACACACAAGCAACAAACATAATAAATATTAAACATTTGCTGCCTAAATGAAATGTGATTACATAATAAACTCATGTTCCAAAGTATGGTAACGATCAACGGACCATAAGAAAAGCGTACCTGGCATCTGTAAATGACGCCACTACACAAGACGGGGTTCACACTGTCAGTAGCGAGTGTGTCTATCTTTTACTTTGATGCAAGCCTGGCACCATCGCCTCCTTGACGCCACCAAATGTCGATGAAACTTCCGGGAAAGTTATTGCTATATCCGACCAAGAATTTGACGGAATTCCTGTAGACTGACTGACTGACTGACTGAGTTTGGTTTTACGCCGCTTTTAGCAATATTCCAGCAACATCACGGCGGGGGACACCAGAAATGGGCTTCACACATTGTACCCATGTGGGGATTCGAACCCGGGTCTTCGGCGTGACGAGCCAACGCTTTAACCACTAGGCTACCCCCACCGCCCCTGCGAAGTTGTAGGAGGATGCGGATGACGTCGTAAACTTCGCCCCATTTCATTCCGGGCGTGTAAAGTAAATGACGTGTTCAATCAGGGGATTTTGCCGTCCAGGAAAACACATCAATATTGTTTTGATTTATATATTGCCGTACAATTCGAGCAACGTGTGTTCTGGGGTACTGCGTTCAATGCCGTTCTGTTGCAAAAATAGTAAAGCGGCCGTTTGCTGTTCAATGACTCACAATTTCACTGATCAAGCCATTTCAGTGAGCAGTATATAATTATGCTGCCCAGTCCACAACCAGTAACATGTAGGAGTCATTGAAGCATAGTGCATCCAGTATTGACATTGACAACATTCTATTTTCTAGCCTCACAATGGACAATGTGGACAGCACAGTTGCGCCCAGACGGAGACATGTGTTCCTGTTCAAGCTGCAACCTCCCACATCTGTCTTCAGACGACGGTACCGACTTCATCTTCTCCTACAAATGCTGCTTTATACACGACAACTACAACTTCTGTACCTGATGTGATAACAAGCTCCCACACATCTCCAAGCGTAGCCTCTACTTCCATTTCGTCATCTACAACCACCACACCTATCCCACGTCCCACGGCAACATTGACAACAACGACTGCATCTCCCACTACAACTGCTACTACATACACGACAACTACAACTTCTGTACCTGATGTGACAACAAGCTCCCACACATCTCAAAGCGTAAGCTCTACTTCCATTTCGTCATCTACAACAACCACACCTACCCCAAGTCCCACGGCAACATTGACAACAACGACTGCATCACCCACTACAACTGCTACTACATACACGACAACTACAACTTCTGTACCTGATGTGACAACAAGCTCCCACACATCTCCAAGCATAACCTCTACTTCCATTTCGTCATCTACAACCACCACACCTACCCCACGTCCCACGGCAACATTGACAACAACGACTGCATCTCCCACTACAACTGCTACTACGTCTACGTCAACCACAATGTATTTGTCTGCTGTGACTCCCCTAACCTCAACTACAGCATTAACTTCAGCTACAACTCTCACAACAACTACAACTGCTAGTTTCATCACAACCCCGTCGACTGCCACAACCCCAACGACTACTGCCACAACTTCTGCCACAACTACAACAACAGCAACAACAACCAGTACCACCACACCCACAACATCGACAACACCAGGTAAAAAAGCATTTTGTTTTCCTTTGCTTTGATTTTTGCAAATTCGATTGAACGTCTCCATCAAGTCGACATAATTTTCATAACTGTATATCTGAGAGTGGTGTGGGTTTAGAATGCTCGGTGTTTCTTTTCAAATTACTGATAACTGACTTGATGTCCCCGACGACAACTATTACTTGTTCCTAGACAGGACGGTTTGTTGGTTGGGCTTAGGTAAAATACACTCTTTAAAAAAATATCATTGAAATATTTGGTCTTATTTAATTACATTTAAATCAACGAAAACCAACGGTACAGCTCTGAAATTTTGTAGAGCAATACATTCATTGGTATTTCGTGCACATTTCACCAGAATGACAGTCATTATAGTCTGCTGTGCACGAGGTGGCGTTGACGTTACTGCCTTGTATGACCACCTCTTACTGCTAGAACTGCACACCTCCTTGGCACAGATCGAGTCTGTTGCTGGATGTTTCGTTGTGGAATCCTTCTCCATTCCTCCTGCAGCATGTTGAACAACCTTTGAAGGGTCAATGGCGGATTACGACGTCGACGTACACGTTTATCGATCTGGGCCCTTATTCTCGAAACGTTCGTAGCCCTACGAACTTCTTAAGCCCATTCTTAACACATTGGCTACGATCACAGTTAAGAATCCTTAGGGCTACAAACTTTTCGAGAACTGATCCCCCAGATGTTCAACTGGTTTCAGATCCGGGGATTTGGAGAGCCAGGGGAGGACATTGATGTTGTTATTGGCCAGGCAGTCCACTGTAGCACGTGTTGTGTGAGGTCTGGCGTTGTCCTGTTGGTACAGCTCCTTCTGGTGGTCGACAAGGCGATGCACGCGAGGACAGAGAATCTGGTCGATATATTGAGCGGCCGTAAGATTGCCTTGGACGAGCAGCAAATCCAATCTGCGGGTGTATGAGATGGCTGTCCACACCATGATAGTCACACACACACACACACACACACACACACACACACACACACACACACACACACACACACACACACACACACACACACACAACACACACACACACACGCACCCAACACACACACACACACAACACACACACGCACCAACACACACACACACACACCAAATCTGTCCACTTGCCTGACGTAGTTGGGTGCAAAACGTAGACCCATCGTCTTCCGGCTCGTCGCTTGAGGAGGTAACCCGATGCATCACTGAACCATATACGCCTCCAGTTTCCAAGATTCCATGACTGCACCGTGTTACACAACCTGACTCGCAGACATTGTTGTAGTTGTGTCAGAGACGGGGGACCTTTTGGACGTCTGGCACGCATACCTGCCTCTCGGAGACGGTTCCTGATTGTATGGTCGGACACTCCCCAGGCTCCAAACCGTTCTTATGTTGTGTCCCGGGCAGAACGATGACTGTCAAGTGGTGACCCGGATGTAGCAATCTTGGGCTGGTGTGGTGACTCGCGGTTTTCCAGATCTTCGGCGGTTATTTGTCGAATTGGAGTGCACAAACGATCCCACAAACGAGTTATTGTGCTGGGATGAACGTTGAAGGCCCTCGCCATGACATCCTTTGATTCGCCAGCTGCAATCATCCAATGATCATATCTCGGTCGGCAGCGTTGAGACGTTCAATTTTCTCATCCAATATTTGCAAAGATCTTGGTTGAACTTGCGAGGTGCACTTGGGTCTTTGAAAGTCATAGGTTGTACTCATGTTTTGCACGTGAAAAGAAATAATTGCTGGTTTGGGTACCATGACAGTCAAGCTCATCATGACAATCATGATCGATAAAACCATTCAAAATCGTTTATGGCATGTTCTTGTGAACCATACAAACAACAATATTCAACCATCAAATTTGACATATGCGTACAAACCTTCGATCATTATTTTAAAGATTCATTTTGCGTTTCTGTTTTTTCTAAAAAAATTCCGAAGTGTGTAGATTTTTGAATGTGGTTGTAACATAACCTATTCACTGAACAACACATTTTCAGTGTCTAACTAATCAAGAAGTCAGTGTACAGAGGGTAACTGACAGACTTGCAACATTTGACCATCATTGATTTTTGGTCCGAATCATTGATTCTATTCAGTTATTGTCCTTTATCTGCAATACGTTACAGGATTCCATACCCGTGAAGATCCGGGATAGAACTGATCTTCAGATCTTCAGTAACCCATGCTTGTCATAGGGCGACTAACGGGATCGGGTGGTCAGGCTCCCTGACTTGGTTGACACATGTCATCGTATCCCAAGTGCGTAGATCGATGCTCATGCTGTTGATCACTGGATTGTCCAGTCCAGACACGATTATTTACAGGCCGCCGCCATATAGCTGGAATATTGCTGAGTGCGGCGTTATACAACCAACCAGCCAACATGATTTTAGCGTTGTAAAGCAACTCTTAATCTGATGCTTAAACAGTTGATATGAGTGATAATGGAGTATATTGTCGATAAGTCGATAACTGACAGGGTATTGAGTCGAAACAATGTAACGATGATAATGAGTGGCCTTGATACCTTTGTTCGTGCACTAGTGGTAATATTGGTTATTTACGAGCGGTGTTATGTTTTGACAAAGTATTGTAATATAAAACAGTTATGTTAATAAGGTGATATCGGGTGACTGTGTTTGTGTCATTAAATAGCAACGTCTTGATAACTTTGATAAAATTGATAACTTTCTGTTGCCTGTAGTTTAGTACAGTGTGTCGTGTATTAGGGAACTTCTGTATGCGTTTAATGTTTACCTCTCTCCTGTGTACATGAAGGCCGGGATTATACCTGGAATGTATTCCCTTGTAGATCTCCTATTTAGAAACTGTAGTGTCTAATGTTTGCCAAGTAGGCCCAGTATATATAGGGTCTGCTGTATGAACCAGTAATGTCTAATGTTTGTCTTGTAGGTCCTGTATATAGGGACAGTTGTATGAACCAGTAATGTCTAATGTTTCTCTTGTAGGTCCTGTATATAGGGGGCTGCTATGTAAACCAGTAATGTCTAATGTTTGTCAAGTAGGTCCTGTATATAAAGATGCTGTATAAACTAGTAATGTCTAATGTTTGTCTTGTAGGTCCTGTATATAGGGGGCTGCTGTATAAACCAGTAATGTCTAATGTTTGTCTTGTAGGTCCTGTATATAGGGGCTGCTGTATGAACCTGTAATGTCTAATGTTTGTCTTGTAGGTCCTGTATATAGGGGCTGCTGTATGAACCAGTAATGTCTAATGTTTGTCTTGTAGGTCCTGTATATAGGGGGCTGCTGTATAAACCTGTAATGTCTAATGTTTGTCTTGTAGGTCCGGTATATAGGGGGCTGGTGTATAAACCAGTAATGTTTAATGTTTGTCTTGTAGGTCCTGTATATAGAGATGATGTATAAACCAGTAATGTCTAATGTTTGTCTTGTAGGTCCTGTATATAGGGGCTGCTGTATGAACCAGTAATGTCTAATGTTTGTCTTGTAGGTCCTGTATATAGGGGCTGCTGTATGAACCAGTAATGTCTAATGTTTGTCTTGTAGGTCCTGTATATAGGAGCTGCTGTATGAACCAGTAATGTCTAATGTTTGTCTTGTAGGTCCTGTATATAGGGGCTGCTGTATGAACCAGTAATGTCTAATGTTTGTCTTGTAGGTCCTGTATATAGGGGGCTGCTGTATAAACCAGTAATGTCTAATGTTTGTCTTGTAGGTCCTGTATATATAGGGATGCTGTATAAACCAGTAATGTCTAATGTTTGTCTTGTAGGTCCTGTATATAGGGGGGCTGCTGTATAAACCAGTAATGTCTAATGTTTGTCTTGTAGGTCCTGTATATAGGGGCTGCTGTATGAACCAGTAATGTCTAATGTTTGTCTTGTAGGTCCTGTATATAGGGGCTGCTGTATGAACCAGTAATGTCTAATGTTTGTCTTGTAGGTCCTGTATATATAGGGGCTGCTGTATAAACCAGTAATGTCTAATGTTTGTCTCTTGTAGGTCCTGTATATAGGGCTGCTGTATAAACCAGTAATGTCTAATGTTTGTCTTGTAGGTCCTGTATATAGGGGCTGCTGTATAAACCAGTAATGTCTAATGTTTGTCTTGTAGGTCCTGTATATAGGGGCTGCTGTATGAACCAGTAATGTCTAATGTTTGTCTTGTAGGTCCTGTATATAGGGGCTGCTGTATAAACCAGTAATGTCTAATGTTTGTCTTGTAGGTCCTGTATATAGGGGCTGCTGTATAAACCAGTAATGTCTAATGTTTGTCTTGTAGGTCCTGTATATAGGGGCTGCTGTATAAACCAGTAATGTCTAATGTTTGTCTTGTAGGTCCTGTATATAGGGCTGCTGTATAAACCAGTAATGTCTAATGTTTGTCTTGTAGGTCCTGTATATAGGGGGCTGCTGTATGAACCTGTAATGTCTAATGTTTGTCTTGTAGGTCCGGTATATAGGGGGCTGTTGTATAAACCAGTAATGTCTAATGTTTGTCTTGTAGGTCCTGTATATAGGGCTGCTGTATAAACCAGTAATGTCTAATGTTTGTCTTGTAGGTCCTGTATATAGGGGGCTGCTGTATGAACCAGTAATGTCTAATGTTTGTCTTGTAGGTCCTGTATATAGGGGCTGCTGTATAAACCAGTAATGTCTAATGTTTGTCTTGTAGGTCCTGTATATAGAGATGCTGTATAAACCAGTAATGTCTAATGTTTGTCTTGTAGGTCCTGTATATAGGGGGCTGCTGTATAAACCAGTAATGTCTAATGTTTGTCTTGTAGGTCCTGTATATAGGGGCTGCTGTATAAACCAGTAATGTCTAATGTTTGTCTTGTAGGTCCTGTATATAGGGGCTGCTGTATAAACCAGTAATGTCTAATGTTTGTCTTGTAGGTCCTGTATATAGGGCTGCTGTATAAACCAGTAATGTCTAATGTTTGTCTTGTAGGTCCTGTATATAGGGGCTGCTGTATGAACCAGTAATGTCTAATGTTTGTCTTGTAGGTCCTGTATATAGGGGCTGCTGTATGAACCAGTAATGTCTAATGTTTGTCTTGTAGGTCCTGTATATAGGGGCTGCTGTATAAACCAGTAATGTCTAATGTTTGTCTTGTAGGTCCTGTATATAGGGGCTGCTGTATAAACCAGTAATGTCTAATGTTTGTCTTGTAGGTCCTGTATATGGGGGCTGCTGCTATATGAACCAGTAATGTAATGTCTAATGTTTGTCTTATAGGTCCTGTATATAGGGGGCTGCTGTATATAGGGCTGCTGTATAAACCAGTAATGTCTAATGTTTGTCTTGTAGGTCCTGTATATAGGGGCTGCTGTATAAACCAGTAATGTCTAATGTTTGTCTTGTAGGTCCTGTATATAGGGATGCTGTATAAACCAGTAATGTCTAATGTTTGTCTTGTAGGTCCTGTATATAGAGATGCTGTATAAACCAGTAATGTCTAATGTTTGTCTTGTAGGTCCTGTATATAGAGATGCTGTATAAACCAGTAATGTCTAATGTTTGTCTTGTAGGTCCTGTATATAGAGATGCTGTATAAACCAGTAATGTCTAATGTTTGTCTTGTAGGTCCTGTATATAGGGGCTGCTGTATAAACCAGTAATGTTTAATGTTTGTCTTGTAGGTCCTGTATATAGGGGCTGCTGTATAAACCAGTAATGTCTAATGGTTGTCTTGTAGGTCCTGTATATAGAGATGCTGTATAAACCAGTAATGTCTAATGTTTGTCTTGTAGGTCCTGTATATAGAGATGCTGTATAAACCAGTAATGTCTAATGTTTGTCTTGTAGGTCCTGTATATAGAGATGCTGTATAAACCAGTAATGTCTAATGTTTGTCTTGTAGGTCCTGTATACTGCTGTATAAACCAGTAATGTCTAATGTTTGTCTTGTAGGTCCTGTATATAGAGATGCTGTATAAACCAGTAATGTCTAATATTTGTCTTGTAGGTCCTGTATATAGAGGGCTGCTGTATAAACCAGTAATGTCTAATGTTTGTCTTGTAGGTCCTGTATATAGGGGGCTGCTGTATAAACCAGTAATGTCTAATGTTTGTCTTGTAGGTCCTGTATATAGAGATGCTGTATAAACCAGTAATGTCTAATGTTTGTCTTGTAGGTCCTGTATATAGGGGGCTGCTGTATAAACCAGTAATGTATAATGTTTGTCTTGTAGGTCCTGTATATAGGGGGCTGCTGTATAAACCAGTAATGTCTAATGTTTGTCTTGTATGTCCTGAATATATTGGCAGCTATGTTAACGAGTAATGTCTAATGTTTATCTTCAAGTTCCTGTATATAGGGGCTATTGAGTGTACATGGAATGTATTATGTTTGCCATGTAGGTCCTGTGTACATGGGCTGCTACGACGATAAAAAGGGTCGTGTCCTTCGCCCTGAATACATTAATGACAACACCGCTATGACGATTGACATGTGTCGAAATCACTGCACCCAGAGGGAATACTCCTTCTATGGACTTGAGGTGGGTATTAAGGGCTGTATTTCAGAACTGAGATCTACTAGTGTTGAGCAATATAATAATATGTTATATTACCCTTTAGATATGTTAGAGGACTTTTTATTGGTTATTAGCCAGTGCACATGAAGTCGTACTCTAAAGTTTATGAATCCATCCTACTCTGTTCCAGTATGGAGGACCTTGACCGTTTGCGAACTTTGACATTCAAAGCCAACACAATTGGGGAATTCAGCTATTATTATCAGCAAACGTTCTTTAAGGGACATTTGTTTGTTCGAATTTGCTATTTTGATGAAGTGGAAATATACCGGTCTTTTAGATATGTCATAAACGGCGGTATCATTTGAATTAACGTCCCTTGAACCATATTTTTAAGCGTACAATAGTTATTGTCCCTTCAAATATCAATCATCAATGTTCGTCTGCCGCTACACATATGGCGTAACGTTTAGTGTCCCATACCCCGAAAAGAAACGTTTGAAAAATAACTGTATTATCACATTTTTGGTACCTAAATATCTAGAAGGTAATAATTGAATTTCGTTACACGGCCATTTGCCCGTTAGTATGGGATGGGACCGCCTCCGTTGTGTAGTGGTTAGACGTAAAACACAATTTCACCTCACCTAGTATGGGATGGTGCGACTCGTTTGAATCGGTATCAGCCCGTACGACCTGGCAAGTAGCCGTGTAACTAATGATATTTTGGTACATGATCCGTTATTGATATAGGTGGGAGGTGATTATACTTATTTAATTAGTGTCTTATGTAACGAAGTTTTTAACCCTATTTATTTACCCCATTTATACATCAAAATGTTTGTTTGAAACAAGTGTTTCTAGCTGTTTTCGATTTTTAAAACTTAACAGTCATATATACTTCAATCCATGTCTGCGAAAGAATATAATCAAATCTTTATACAAGTAAGGTTAACGCTCCGTACTCAACCACCCAGTATTTCCTGCACTCTACCGGACTGTGCATCATAAAAGGAGTCCCTAATTTGTATGTCACAAAGTTAGTGAGGGTTATGTAGAAGTAAGGGTGTCAGTCGGTTTAGTAGACACCAGAAAACAGAAAGTACCACAAAGTAATGAAAAGAAGAAATACCAGTATGCATTAGAAAACAGGAAAAACTCCAATGTGACGAAACATGTGCGAGAATATGTCAGTGACATGGTTTGTTTTGAAGGCTGGAAGGGAATGTTTCTGCGGCAACGAGATCAAGGGTGGCTACGAGAAGGTGTCCGACGACAAGTGCAACCAACGCTGCAAGGGGGACAACACCAAGACGTGTGGAGGACCGTGGAAGATGGCCATATATCAGGTTGTTTGACGGACCTATCTAGGTGCCTTACAAATAAAGGAGTGTTTTATGGTAGCCATGGTGTGATCCACATACGAAAACAATAATATCTAATCTTGGAAAAACGTTGTTCTCCCACCATGGACTCCATTGTACTCTGTTACACTCTGACATTGTTCCGTGTGAAGACAAGATACGCTCACCCACTGTGCTGTGTGTTACACCCTGACATTGTTCCGTGTGAAGACAAGATACGCTCACCCACTGTGCCGTGTGCTACACCCTGACATTGTTCCCCGTGTGAAGACAAGATACACTCACCCACTGTGCCGTGTGTTACACCCTGACATTTTTCCCCATGAAGACAAGATACGCTCACTCACTGTGCCTTCTGTTACACCCTGATATTGTTTCGTGTGAAGACAAGATACACTCACCCACTGTGCCGTGTGTTACACCCTGACATTGTTCCCCATGAAGACAAAATACGCTCACCCACTGTGCCGTGTGTTACACCCTGACATTGTTCCGTGTGAAGACAAGATACGCTCACCCACTGTGCCGTGTGTTACACCCTAACATTGTTCCGTGTGAAGACAAGATACGCTTACCCACTGTGCCGTGTGTTACACTCTGACATTGTTCCGTGTGAAGACAAGATACGCTCACCCACTGTGCCGTGCGTTACACCCTGACATTTTTCCCCATGAAGACAAGATACGCTCACTCACTGTGCCTTCTGTTACACCCTGACATTGTTTCGTGTGAAGACAAGATACACTCACCCACTGTGCCGTGTGTTACACCCTGACATTGTTCCCCATGAAGATAAGATACGCTCACTCACTGTGCCGTGTGTTAAACCCTGACATTGATCCGTGTGAAGACAAGATACACTCACCCACTGTGCCGTGTGTTACACCCTGACATTGTTCCGTGTGAAGACAAGATACACTCACCCACTGTGCCGTGTGCTACACCCTAACATTGTTCCCCGTGTGAAGACAAGATACACTCACCCACTGTGCCGTGTGCTACACCCTGACATTGTTCCATTTAAGGACAAGTTATATTCAACCATTGTACATTGTCTCCTGTGGTACATCCTGAAACTGTTTCCTGTGAACGATATTCTCAAGCAATTATTTCAACATAATAATATCCTTAAGTGTGTCGATATTGTTATCTTTAGTTTAAACTGTTTTCATTTTGATTTCATGCTATTTAGAGAGTAGTCAAATGCAACATATGTTATATTTGGGATTACACTTTCTTAGTAAAGTACAGGTTCTAGTGCTTTTTTGGGTTGTGTCCCATCCGGGATTCGAACCCACACCCTCAGAGTCAGGCACCAACTCGCCAGCCCACAAAGTCAGCTGCCTAACCCACCGCGGCTTCCACAAAATGGTTGTCTAGACTGCGGACTTTGTGTACCCCTCTGATGAGTGTAAATTGGCACGGCTCCCGTGGCCGAAAGCTATGATTACACAATGCCACTTAGAAAGTGGTCAAATGCAACATATTTTATATTTGGGATAACACTTTCTTAGTAAAGTACTTTTCCGCACGAAACGATGACATGTGTCAACCAAGTCAGCGAGCCTGACCACCCGATCCCGTTAGTCGCCTCCTACGACAAGCATGGGTTATTGAAGATGAATTCTAACTAGAATGACGACAGTGAACGAGTATAGTTTTAAGCCGCATTTTGCACTATTCCAGCAATATCACGGCGGGGTACACGAGAAATGGGCTTCACACATTTTACCCATGAGGGGCACTGACATTCAGGCTCAAGTCGCAGCCACTCGACATACAAACCGCACCTTCCGGTAACCGGCAGTTACGTTCTCCCTTTGTAGTAAGTCAGTGTGGTTTTATGCCGCTTTGAGCAATAACCCAGTATTATCACACCGAGGAACAGAAGAAATGGGTTGCACACATTGTTCCCATGTGCGGAATAGAACCGGGTTGTTCGGCGTGACGAGTCAGCGAGTGAGTGAGTTTAGTTTTACGCCGCACTCAGCAATATTCCACCTATATGGCGTCAGTCTGTAAATAATCGAGTCTGGACCAGACAATCCAGTGATCAACATCATGAACATCGATCTGCGCAATTGGGAACCGATGAAATGTGTCAACCAAGTCAGCGAGCCTGACCACCCGATCCCGTTAGTCGCCTCTTACGACAAGCACAGTCGCCTTCTGTGACAAGCATGGGTTGCTGAAGACCTATTCTACCCCGGATCTTCACGGGTGTTCGGGGTGACGAGCGAACGCCTTAACCACAAGGCTAATCCACCGCACCGCCCTTTGTAGTTGTCAGTCTCTGTCCAAATACCTTTCCTTGTTGTACCAGATTAAATTGAGCGAGTGAGTTAGTTAGGTCTTACGCCGCTTTAATCAATATTCTAGCGATATCACGGCGGGGGACACCAGAAATGAGCTTCACACATTGTACCCATATGGGGAATCGAACCCGGGTCTTCGGGTAACAGTTACACCTAGAATGAATAAAGTTATTTATTATATTATGTTAACACATGTACATTTAAAGAATGAGGAATATTTTTACGGATATAGAACTTCTTTACTCTGTATAGGCGGCTTCTCGACACATATTCTAATGTCGTTGTCAAGCAAGCGGTGACAACGACATTAGAATCTATGTCGAAACGTCGCCTATACAGAATAAAGAAGTTGTATATCCATAAAAAATAGTCCTCATTCTTCATCTACCCAACTTGTAGAATGCCAGTCAAAGAAGTCATGTACATTTAGAAGAAAAGTAAATACGCGTTCACATGCAATATCTGTTCACTGGTTGAACGTTTCACAATTGTTGCAGTTACCTCCCCTTGTTTTGCGGTTACCTCCCCTAATAGTTCATTTTCACCCTCAGAAACCCGAAGAATATTCAGCGCCTCTCCTTCGTCATGGTGGTAAATTTTCTGACACACTTTATGAATTTAGGGTTTTTGTTACAAATATAACTTAACAACTAACAACCACACAAACCAAAACTAAGTTGTCACAGACATCACAATTTGAGACGCATGATTTTCCTGTACAATTACCCCATAAACTCCAATGTGTGTCACATATCTTTATAAGAAATAGAACACGGTGGCATGGGAAGAACAAGAATCTGAAATAATTTGCTGAAGCGGCTGTGAAATTCCTGCACAATCACAGTGATTGCATTTACAAGTAATTTTGTGTCGTGTGAATTATGAATCTTTGAGTGGGTTATGTTTAACATCGGTCCTAACTGTACTCCAGTCAGCTTGATGCTGAAGATGTACGGGTATTTTGCCGACAAACCTGCAAACAGATTCGGGGACAAATCGGGATTCGAACTCAGAGTCATGTGTTTGGGCGTACACAAGGGACGTAATTCTAAACAGCAAATTGTGGCGCCTTAGGTATTTGAGTCAATATTATCTACTAATGTCTAAAGAAGATCAATAGAAAATAACAGATAAATAAATAAATAGAAAAGTACACTCCCATTAGAACTAAGCTGATGACAACAGGTACACAATGTTTTTGACTCGAAAGTCGTAATCAAAACAGTTTTCAAAATATTTTCGTTGTTTGTTTTGGAAAATAATCCCAAAGCACAAAGTGTGTAGTTACTTTTGTGCGTCAGTTTACTAGATTCAATATGCTAATACCGGAGCTCGATACACCACATGGGTGCCATGTGGACCTCTTGTGTGAAGCCTCTTCCATCCCAACCACAATGATATTGCTGGATTGTTGATAACATACTGGCTGCTGTCCTTGGCGAGTTAGTGAGTGAGTGAGTATGGTTTTATGTCGCTTTTACCAATATTCCAGCGATGTCACGGCGGGGGACACTAGAACACGGCGGGGGGACACTAGAAATGGGCTTCTCACATTGTACCCATGTGGGTAATCGAACCCGTGTCTTCGACGTGACGACCGGACGCTTAAACCATTAGGCTACCCCACCACCCCTGTACTTGATGGTGGTTGCTGTCAGTTTCTGAGATGAATCACCTGGAATTCGTCGCAGTCGTCCCTTTCCGTAACTTGCAAGAAGACCCGTCCCTCTATCGATGAACGTTATGCGTGATAATTCGACAGTGAGAATGTGCATCAGGATTCCGGTAATTTAGTAAAAATCATCTCCTCAGCACTTAAATCGGTAATGGTAGAATATGATACAGTTAATAAAATAAATATAAATTGAGGCCAGATTTATCATGTACGTTGGTACACATGGGGCATGGTGGGCGAGCTGGATAAGGCGCCAGGCTAGTGATCCAGCAAGCTTAAGGTGTCAGGATCGAGCCCACCTCTGACCGGGTGTGAAAACCTTGGAGTCAACTTTGTGTGCAGACACTTTCAGTGTTGTCACAACCCCTAGTGTACAGTACACAACTCTGTGCACTTAAAAGAAGCCACGAATCCCTTGGTAGATGACCAGATGGTGGCCACATGAATACGTGCAAACACCTAGTTGCGGGTACAGCAACGTGCAGTAAACTTGGACAAAGTACTATGACTATGTGTCCCAGTCCACCCAGCTGTGAATGGGAACCTCGTAAAGACGAGAAAGCCGCAATAACTCGGTGCGCCTTGTGGCTGCAAGAGTTGTATGATCCCCGGGGAGTTGAGATTGATAATACGATGTGCCGTTGAGATTGACATCCAATGATCGAGGGAAGAAATACCAGCGCCTTGAGCATGGTCTAGTTGCGTGGATATGTGCGTTATATAAATATATAATAATAATAACACATATGTACAGAAACCCGGATCAACACGAAGTTCCCTCCTACAAGTTCATCTTCAACTTGATGATTCTGGATATAGTTGAAACATTTGGGAGAGTAAGTCCTGTTGTGTCAATATTTTGTGGATTACTTTATATACTAGCCACACAAAGAAACTGTGCATTGTCAAAATATTATCCCAGTTGATAAGTACGATAACAATGTCAAAGGTACATATAAACTTTATGGAGGGATCATGAGACCATAAGAAGTCGGGAGAATTTCAATTGAAAAGTCAATCACAATGACGTCACGAGTCCACAAGCGGGACAGGGCTCAAACGACCATGTCACAAGCTCAATAACGGGCATGTCCACCATCGGCATTGAGAACAGCAGTGCATCGACGACGCATAAAGCCTATCAAACGTGCAAGGAAGGCCAG